GTATTATACATAAGAATTAATTTTAACAATGATGAAATTGATTAATGGATGATGTCATTGTTAAATAATAAATCATTAAAAAGTAAAAAAAGTACAAATAATCAAAAGAATATAAAAAATTATAAAAAAAATTGTACACATCTCTAATATATTAATTATATCAAAAAGTGTAATAAGTAAAAATTATTTATATAATGTAGATGAAATATATAATTTAAAATTGATCTAAAAGCAAAGCTATTTTTTCTATCTAGATGGTGCGTCAGTTATCCAACTTTCCAAATAAACCCATGGTTTCAATAATTGAATAATAAATAATTAAAAAAGATAAAAACACAAAAAATGAAAAAATATAGAATTTTGTCTAAAACATTTGGGAATATTTCTAATGTTATATATTCATCATATTAAATAAAAATAATTGTTAAAATAAATTTTATTTTTATTTATGATAGAGATGGAATATAAAATTTAATAATAATATTTTTATTGTAATTTAAAATTTCTATGTGCAATCCACGTGAAGTCGGATTTTTTGTGTATATTTACTTTTACTTTATACATACATACATACATACATACATACATACATACATACATACATACATACATACATACATACATACATACATACATACATATAGTGCTAATGACAGTATGAAACTTTACTAAAATACCCCTATTTTTGAATTTAATCCCTCTTTAATTTTAAGGGCTAATAATGTAATATCATTTATAATTTTCACCTTATTTAATTCCCTCTCATTAAGTCTTATATTTAAGGCATTAACTCACATTCTCACATTAAATCTTCTATTTAAGATATATTTTATTTAATAAGTCTAATAAAATATGAAACCCATGTTTTTAAAGGGTAAAATGCTAAAACATCCCCTAAAGTTTCTGACAATTGCTGAAAATCTCCCCCGAATTTTGGCAATTGCAATAACCCCTGAATTTTAACATAGTTGCAAGTAGAACCTTTCTCTTATAATTCTCTAACAAGAGGCATGAGAATGTCTAAAATAACCATGTAGTTACTTTGAGTAAAATGTTTATTTTCCAAATTTTTCATTCATATTAGTCACTACCCCCAAACCCTTCATGTGAATCCTTTAAAGTTGAAGTTGCAATTTTGAACTTTATTTTTCTTTTGTTGTTTAAAGTTTTTATTGTTTTTTATGTAAAAACCAGCCTCAATAGTAACTACATGAATGTTTTGAACATTTGTGTGACTCTTGTTAGAGGATTCTAAGAGAGAGGAGTCTACTTGCAATTGTATTAGAAAATTTAAGGGAGGCGATTGCAATTACCAAACTCCAGGGGAGATTTCAGCAACAATCAAAAATCTGAGGGGAGGTTTTAGCAATTTATCCATTTTTCAAATTAATCAAAAACAAAAATGAAATCGCTCTTCCATCCAACTGGTGGGTAAGCCAATTTAACCATCTAGACCAATTGGGTGAATCCATGATGTCATAGTTAAATAAAAGAATGTAGAAAAAAAGGGTCATTTCTCTAATATTTTATATTAATCATGTTAAAGAAAAAATAAGTGTCATAAACAATAATTGTTTTTATTGATAATGCAAATAAAATACAAATTTTAAAACCAGCAAAAAAATGAAATTGATTTCCTATTTGGTCTGGGTCAACAGTTCAACTTTTAGGTCAAATGTGTCAATATTTGATGTCATAATTAAATAATAAAAATTAAAAACTCAAAACATGAAGAAAAAAACATTTAGGCACATCTCTAATATTGTATATTCATCATATTAAATAAAAACAAGTGTCATAAATAAGAATTATTTTTATTTACATGGAAATATAAAAAATGTAAAGATTTAATTTGAATTTAGTCCCTTTTTAATTGTGAGGGTAAAAAATGTAACGTGAACTATTATTTTTTTCTTCATTCAATGTCCTCTCATTAAGTCACACATTTGATGTGCTAACGTCCATTCTTTCTTATTAAACAATACATTTAAGATATTTTCTCACTAATAAATTCTATTATTAGATCTATATCCAATACTTTTAACAATATAAATCTCTTTATTTTTCAAAATTGAACCAAAAAATGAAATTGTCCTTCTATCTAGGTAGTGGGTAAACCATCCGGGTCAAATGGGTAAAGGCATAATGTCATAATTAAATAATAAAAATTAAAGAAAGATAAGAACAAAAAAATACATAATATTTGTAAAAAAAAAAACATTTAGGACAACTCTAATATAGAATTATTTTATACACATTTTTAGGTTAAATTAAAATAATTTGGCCATGCAAATTTACTAGTAAAAACTTAAAATAATTTGGATGTATATTACTATATTTATCATCTAAAATTGTCACATACAAAACACATGCAAATTTACTAGTACCAAAAAAAAGGACATATAACTGGTTATCAGGACATCCCATTTGTTTCATGTAAAAACTTCTCCCATACAACTAATGGGGTGGAGTCCAATGGTAACCTTTTTTTTTTTTATTGCTTCTGTTAACCATTTTCTTGGGAAAAATGAAACATATATTCTCTACTCCTCCCAATCAAGGTTTAAAGTATTAATTTGATACACCCACCCGATACCATGTATCGATTTTGAAGGCCACCGACATGCAAAATATTGAGAGTTAATGGATATTAACAGATTCCATCCTAACAAAACTATCTTTAATTAACAAATTAAAAACTAGTCCAAAAAAGTAACAAATTGAAAAAAAAAAGGAGCACTGAGTAATCGATATGCACGATACTCTCAATCTTTTGGTATTGTGCATGACGATTTTTTGAACCTTGCTTCCAAAAAACCCTCTACCTCTCTCAAATAAAGCGTTAATTTCCTTTCTTCCCCACTCCCTCCTTATTCTCTTGATGACTTGTAGAAGGTCAACCCAACCCAACCTGAAGTTACGAACCTTGGGCTCAAGCCTGGGCCAACCCAAGGTCAAGCTCAATTTTATCAACTTAGGCCCAACTCAAATTTAACTTAACACAACTCAGGTTGGACTCAGGCCAGACTAAGTCATGTTGAGTGGGTTGCCCTGGCTTAAAAGAGATCATGAATTCATTTTTATATGGTCATCTTTCATGGAGCTTTATGCCCCATTTGATTGAAGATGTGTACAAATTTTATTTACAAACACGTATGCACATTGAAACATGTATTTTATGCCCCATTGGCATAAATTTCATGGAACTTTATGCCCCATTGGAAGGACTTCTATCAATGTTGTGGAAGCTTGGGCAGCGTGGGAGGCTCATATCATCACCAACAACTTCAGCTCGTACCCAATCCGTATTGAAGGGACTCTCTTCTTGTTATTTATTGCTTAAAGAAAAAGATCTGTATTCCATGAAAGCTGAAGACCATCATGACTGAGTGTCGACTGTCATAAGATCAGTTGGACAAGGGGGCATATCTTATTCTCATTCTTTCAGGGAAGCGCATATGGCTGCAGACTGGTTGCCAAATCAAGCTCTTTTTCTCCTTTTTTTCCTCTTTATTTATGTACTAGTAAATGACCCGTACTAAGTACGGGGAATAAGTAATGTTAAGTTTACATTATGGAATCAAAAATGTTAAGTTTATATTTATTAATATTTTAAATAATTATTAAAATTTCAAGAAATATTTATTTCAAAAAATAGCTTTTCAATAATTATTATAATATAGATAGTTTTCTTTTGTTATGATACATAGAGTGTTAATGATTAATTGAGATTGATAGAATATGACAAAAATGGTTGTGAATAACCCACATTTGCATTTTTTTAGGAATCGATTGAAAATAGTAGTAATGGGTTGTGAGCTTTAGCAGCAAGTTCTTAGAAAATGTCACGTGTCTAGCTTTCTAGAAAAATGAAAAGGCCATGTGTCTAAATGGTGGGGAGTTGTAGCCTGGTAGTGGGTTGTGGGCTTTAACAGGAATTCCTCAAAAATTGCCACATGTCTAGCTTTCTAGAAAATGAGAGCCACTTGCCTGAATGGTGATAATGGGTCACTAGATTGTGTATTTTAATAGCAACTTTTCAGAAAATACCATGTATCTAAATTTGAAAAAGCCAATGTCTGAATGATGGGAGTTGTAGCCTGAAAGCCTGAAAGCCAATGTCTAGAGCCACTCCCCGGTTAGTGTAGCTCAGACGTGTTTCTACCAAAAATAAATAAATAAAAAAAAAGAAGCATGTATTTACAAATCACAAATATAATTCATGCATCTTTGTTCGTGCAAGCTTGGATAGATCAAGCTGGGTTGGATTAGGCCAGGCTAGGGTCGGGCCTGGGCTATTCAAGGTTTCAACCCAAGACCAATCTTAGTTTAGGCCAAGTCAAACTTTTTTTTATCCAAACCCAGCCCGCAGCCCAAAAATGTAGGTCCAACCTAAAAACATTTGGGTCAGACTCGGGTTAGACCCACCCAAGTTGCACCCCTAAAGAATCCCACAAAAACTCTGTACACGGGAATTGGAATCTCCCATAAATCTCTATTCATGGATCTCCCATAAATCTCTGTACACTCGGGTTAGGCCCACCCAAGTTTTTTTTTTTTTTTTTTTTTCTTTTCTTTTCAGGAGATCCTATCGCTTTTCAAAGATGCTTTTATGGTATTTGGAACACCTTTGTAATAGGTACATATAAAGATAAAGTTCATAATTAAAAAAGGGAACTTTATCTTTGTAATAGGTATCAACCAAGCAAGAGTGGTTGAGTCTCCAGCTTTTAAGCTGTTGGGCTACAGGTACATATAAAGTTCATTATCAAAAAAGAACTTTATCTTCTTCACACACCCAGACGGCCAGATGTCTATCAAAGTCTCCAGATGCTAGATCTTGCTATGGAACCATATGCAAACTGCAATTTATAACTGAATAATTAAATCTAATTAATCTAGAGTCCCCAATGGTGCAATCCACAAGTAACCCTTTTTCATTGTTAATCGACAAGGAACCTGGGTGAAAGTAAATTAGGTATCAGAGGATTTCCGCAAAATTAAAGATAAAAAATAATTTGACATTGATGGTAAGTACAAAGTCCACAGCAAGTGTTACAGGCTACCTGCCACCCACTGATTGCAACTCACAAATACAATTTGTTGCCCAAACCTGCCGTCTTAAAAACTAATGTCCGCACAACTAAGGTACTCAGAGATGACAGGTGGCAAACATGAAAGGACTCGCTCTCCATTTACAACCACCTTTCATGGAAGTACCATAGCAATAGATCCATAACAAAATAGGGGTCATTCGCAGGCTGGTTTGGTGTCAAAGCTGCTCAAGCATATAGCGAAGGCTTGGAAGGCAGATAGTGGGTAGCGATAATCCATGGTGAAGATGTCTTTTCCAATCTTTCCAAACTGTAGTATTACCTTTTCCTGCTCTGCTAGTGAGACGTTAAGGGAAGGATCCACAGATGCCACGAGCTGGAAATTCTTAACAGAGGCCACCGTCACACGCCCCCTGAAATTTAAGCACCAACATTGCAGTTGTTCATGCCATCTAGGTGCTTTGTTCTTTAAAACTAATGGTTCTCTTGTTCTCTGGATTGATGCTGGTCTCTCTGAGAGGCTTGTGTTACCGGAATCCACAACTGGATCCTTAGATTTTGACGATGATAAGCAAGGAAGGGGCTCCTCAAGGGAGTGTGAGAGTTCAGTAGGTGTTGGGGCAGTACCCCCTTCCTGAATTGCAGAGACAGGGATGGAATTCATTGTACAGTTCATTCGCCTCGGACCTCTCGTTCGGAGAACATTGAGCTCGTAAGCGATGGTGGCTACATCATAGTTACCTGCTGGAACCCTTGGCGATACCTGCTTGGAATGGATTCTCCTATTTGACCGACTACTTGATTGGACTGCAGAGTCACATGGAGGCTGACAGTCATAAATAGTGAACTTGGTGCCTAGAAAATTAGACCTGGCAAAAGATTGCCGACATTATGGAGCATATTAGAACAAGCATAAGAAGAATGACTAAACTCAAGGATAAAAAATAAAACAGTGGCTAATAATTAAAACTTACCTTAGTTTTCCAACATAAGTGTTGCTTGTACGAGAGAAATCATGCCCAACCAAGGATATAATAAAATCTGTACAAGCTGCTCTTCTAACCTTCTTGGCTGCAAGAAGCAGTTTACCGTTGTCCCCCAACAGAGCTGTGCATTCAGTAAAACAATAAGTAGCATACATTAATAACCAAGTGTACTTCATTTGGTCAACATAGTTACTTGGTCAACATTTGGAAGTAACATGACAATCATTTTCATCTAATCAACATGTTTAATTAGGAAGTATTTGGAGTTCTAGTTTACCGTAGCATTTCAAGGCATGGGTCGATCACCTAAAACAGATTTGCTGTCAAAATGTTAATAAAAACCAGAAATCCAATTAAGCAGCATCATGCATGTTAACGCAAGAAATCAAGTTTTCCTTTTCATCAGTAGATAAAAAAAAAAAAAGAATATCAGTAAGGCTCAGTTTGGAAGGAGTACAAATGCAAATATGTAGAGTGTAAAACCTTAAATTTTGTATTCTTTTGTATGTATTTGTACTGTACATATTTGCATTTGTAATCTTTACAAACAAAGCCTAAGGCTCAGTTTGGAAAGAGTACAAATAATGTACAGTGCAAATACATGCAAAATAATACAAAATACACAGATTTGCACTCTACATATTTGTATTTGTACTCCTTCCAAACTGAGCCTAAAATACAAAGTAGGTTCCCAAGGCTTGGGGCAAACTCCCAATTTTGGAAGGGAAAAAGGAAAAGATATTTCCCACTCGACTAATATTCTAGGGGTTCCTTGGATGTATTCTCAATTCTAGGCAAGTTACAAAAGCCATTTTGCTGCAAATATATATTTAGGATTATAGAAAAATGCATACTTGAGTTCAATAAAATTTTCTTCTGTTTTGTGTTTCTCCCTTCTTTTTCAGTGACTTGTGATTTTGCATTTCATGCTGCGTTTGGTTGCAGTGCAATTTTATTTGCACTAATACAAATGCATGGGAGTGCAAATGAAAAGAAATGCAAATTCTGGTTTAATTTTGTTATGGATTTTACTTATTCTGATTTAGGTCTTATTTTACTTCATTCTGCAATTAAATAAAATACGGTAAAATTTGAAACAAAAATAAATCAGAATTTGCACCCAAATCATTTGTACTACCATAATTTTGCATCAGTGTAAATAAATTTACATTGCAACCAAACACAGACTCAGAGATTGCATTGTGGTCAAATGACATCATCAAACTAGTATCATTCTTCCTACACATAATGCTTTAAATTTTAATACCTTCAAGCCACACACCCAGGTTAACCAATAGTGTTTGAATACACCCTCCCCAAAAATAACAAAAATTTAGACCAATGACACATTAAACTCCATGTTGCCAACCAAAAAGCCCATGGGTCGAAGCAGTTAGAAATGATTCAAGTGTCCATACTTTAACAATGCATATGACATTAAACAGAACAGAATGGCAAAACAGGATTCATGTTGCCAACCCCATATAGTTGAGATAAGGCTTAGATGATGATGTTGATGGCAACTTATTAAGCTCCATATAGGTGTAAACCATGCTTAATGACTATTATGATCATATGCTTTTCTTATGCATGTTTCAGGGACAAGGATGGAAGAAAAATGTACCCTTGACCATTTGCTTCTAATTTACTTGTGGTTTGTAAAGCACTACTATATAGGAGAGTTTGCCATGGCCAGCATACCTATTTTACTCAAATTCAGTGAGGGCATGGCTAAATATGGTATCGCACATGAAATTTCATTTAAAATTCATGTATCTAAATTCTAACATGATATGGCACCCTTGTACAGGTATCTGGGTATCATAAAAGCAAATGCAAATTTTGTTTCACAAAAAGAAGGGATTTTTTTTTTTTTTTTTTTTTATAAATTGCAGATACCTTACAAAAAGAAGGTATCTGCAGTTTAAGGAAAATTAAAAGCTGTCCTGTTGCAACCAATTTTAAGATCTCAACTTAACCACCAGTTATTCTATCGATTCAGATTTGTTAGCTTCCACAGACTCTATGATGGCATCAAGTCAAAATGTTGAATTCAAGTTTTGTAGTTTCACAATGGTCAAATTTGACGTTAATAATAACTATTTCAAGGGACTGATTAAGGCACATTGCCCTTGTGATAAACCAGGTGCATCCATCCCCAGTAAGAGGGCAAAAAATAACTGGCTTATGATAAGACGATGTTTTTATGAATCCCAGCATGTCTTTAGGGGACTCAATTCAGGGTGTTGCACCATGGCATTCATTGCTAGCATTCATCAAAAACATAGAAACAACAAAAGATCAAGTATCATTATAAGGACTTTCCTTTTTTTTCTGAAAGATAAAAAAGATGGTTGTGCTTGATTTTACCAAATCCATAAATATGAATGAACTTGGTTATGCTTCATTTACTTTTCAAGTAGATTTGTGTTATATTTGAACATAAATATGAATGAACTTTGGTTTTTGGTTTTATACACAATTTCACCACCAAGAGAATCAAATTGTGCTGAATTCATATTTTTCCCATTCCCAACATATAAATTAGGGCATCGAAAATAAAACAAAGTCATTGGCTCCATGTTTTCTTTTTCTAGTGTAACAAACAAGAGGAAATGGAACCAGACACCCAATAATTTCCATTACGGTGGGTTTTCAATTTGCCCACAATCAAGGCATGTGTGGCTGCACTTAAGCTATAGAATTAAGCACCCAAGTGATACTTGATAAATTAAAGTGAAAATTTTTGCTGAATATGCGATTCAAATAAATAACATGGAAGTTAGAACTATAATACTATTACCTCAAAAAAGAATTAAAATCCAACAATAAAAATAAAGGGGAAAACAAGCATAATAAAAATAATGCCTCAGGGGAAGAAAAGTATGTAAAACAAAGTGTGTACCAGGGCTGAGACCAAGATAGAGCCGATAAGTAGAACTGGCTCTTTCCCTCCTGATAAAGCACTGTATGGGCAATTCACGTGGGCCCGGCTATTTCAAAATTGAAGCAATAACAACAGTAAAGAAACAAAATAAAAAAAAAAATCAGCAGAGAATGCAAAACAAAAGAATATCTGAAAAAAAGCAAAAAATAAAACAAAGAAAAGCATAAAAACCTGCTTTAATGAGATAGGGAAGGTAATCCTTCCACATTGCTCTGGAGTGTTTACAACCTCTTTTGCAATCTCTCTCCATGACCTGCAAACAGAGGCACAAGCAACAACATTCCTCCTTGCAGGCCATAATGACTCACTCGCTTCGAGCCTCTGGATCACATCAATAAGTAACTCTGGAGATAGGCTAGCCCATGAGCCTTGTTCAATTGGATCAGTTTGGAACCGTGACACATCAGGAATAATATGAGATCTCATGTGGCTATGCATATCTTTCCCTTCACCCCCTCTCCTCGATTTGCTCGCAATCCCATTCCTCATCTCCCTGAGCTCCCGAACAAAGCTTTTGAACAGCATTGAAGCCAAATAGATTGCTGCTCTCCTTTATATTTTTTCATTGAAAATAAGCAAACAAACAAAAGGAGAAAAAAAATAGTATTAGTGAAGTTAATCTGGGATCAAAAAAGTTAATCTGGGACCAAGAAAACAACCTTGTTTAGTCCCGGAAAAGGACAAATGTTTGGTGTTTTTTCACTTAGACATACATGGTGTATGTGGCACAAACGATTTTGGGGCTCGATAGAAATTTGAGGGGTTAAAACTAATCGGACAAATCTAATATCTGAGAAGAATCCTTAGACAGTTAGGCTTATTACTATAAATTGAAATTTCAGCTCTCAATCCCTCATGAGAGAAGAGGAAATGCTATATTACTGTTGTCCAACTTGCACAGCTGTTGCTAGGAAAGAAAGTTTGTGTTGTGTATGCAAAAACACTGATTGAGCAACTGACACAAAATTTCGAAGACCAGTGGACAGAGGTCCAAGGGAAGTCTACCACTCACCACTGGCAGTCTGGCACTTTGTTCTGTTGGATTTTCACTAGATCATCCACATTCCATACACACACAAGAGTTAGAAATAGCAACATTTTCGACACGTTTCATGAATATTGAGAAGAGATCGACATATAAAAACAGTTGTCACACTGGATGCTAGTAAGGCACATCTGATATCCTTAATTCTTAAAGAACCAGGTGGGGTAGGGTTGTATTGGAATAGAACAGTGAAGTGGGATGACTGATTTGGTCATTTGTCATGCCATTCGCCAGCCTCTAGAGTATAGTCTCTTCCATCCTTGGTTCAAAGAAAGAATTTTACCACCACACACACGCCTGCGCACGCACACACACACACACATCAGATTTTGATGGCGGCAAGTGATTTTAAGGCATTGGATTGAGAAGCACCTAGGTTATATTGGTGTGTGAACCCATTCTGACACCAATCTGATGGTTAAAAGGGAAGAACCAACAGAAGTAGATGTAGACTTAACGACGTATGTCAGCTGTACAAGTCTAATGTTAATGCATGTACCTTTCTTTCTTGACCATATAGTGAGTCTTGAGTATCCGTAACTCACAAAAGCAAAAGTTTCTGAGAATGGAAGCCTTCCATTAACTGCTGAGAACTGTGTCTCAGCTAGAAAGTCAAACCATTGTATAAAATTTCATGCAACGCGTCAAGGAACTCGGGGATTAAGATTTCAATGGTTGTTTGGCACTTTGGCCCTACAAATTTCTTGTATATCCCATTTGGATGCTGGAAAAAAGTTCATTCCCTCATTCTCATTTTGGGAGTTATCATTGAGTAATCAAATTTGGTTAATTATCAAAAAAAAAAAAATCAAATTTGGTTGCACATAACAAAGGGAAGCAAGGCCTGACCGTCTAATTTGACGGCCCACCAATCTAGAGGGCAAGCCCATCACCATGCATCTTTAGAGTGAAGGCTCACAATCATCATCAAGCAAAGACTAGGGCCAGCAATTTGATGATAAGAAGAGATGAGAGGGACAAGGGCAATGATGTGATGAGATATTTAGAAGCATACTTTCATTCTGGGGATTCCGTTTGTAACTAGTTTTTGGTTCATATTTTGTATCTAATTAGATGTTTTGATGGTAAGATACAGAGACAATTAGTGATCCAAAAGTAAGCATGTATGGCAACCAATAATACTGATAAAAGGAAAAAGAAATTGGGGTAGGATTGTGTACCTCAATGCAATTTGTAGGTAGGCAAGCGATGCGTCTTAGGTTGGCATTAAACCACATACACAGGTCCTGTTCTCCCTTTCACTATTTGACCATTGTGCAAGTCTCTGCATAATTATTATAATTGTAAACGGATATCACTGTCTACGAGCAAAATGGGGGAGAGAAATAATAATAATATAGCACAGGACAATGAACCACAAAAATGCAAAGAGAATGGGTTCTACGTATAAAGGTTATGACCTAATTTGCTCCATGTTTGGTCGTTCTGGGTGACTCTGCTCCAACCTGTAGTGGATAGAACCCAAAAATATGTTCCTAAATTATGGTCAGTGATGTCACATTGGTGACCAGCAGGTAGATATTAATTGAATTGAGCATCTGGATATGCTACCCAAACCTACACACAGGACACTACAGCTACAAATTCGAAACATCTCCCCATGAATTATAAAATACAAATATGGGAGATGTTTCCAATGTATGGCTGTCTTGTGTGTAGGTGTGGATAACATTTGTGGCTCACGACCCAAGCTCTTCTTCCCTGCAATATTTCCAGTCACAATCAAGGTTTTAAAAGGGTAAAGGTGGAGTCAAGGTGGTTGGGTCTTGGAGAGGCAAGGCATAAGCCTCGAGAGTTTTAAGGTGTAAGCTTCAAACTAAAAAACTTTAAAAATTATAAACGCATTCCATAAATAATAAAAACATTAAAAAAATAAATAGTTGAAGTTTTATATAATTATTTATGGCTTATTTTTTATTTCAAAGGTGATGACTACTAGTTCATTGAATCTTATCAGGGATTTTTTTTTCTAAAATATAAGCACTCTAAAAGCAATATTATAATCAAACTGACTAGAAACTAATATATTAGAACATTTATTAATTAAATACTTAATCACATTCCACAAAAACTTCAGAATATAGAATAAAAGTCAGAAAATAAGGAGTTAAATGAATGTACCTTCGCAAACACACAAACAACCCAATAGCCAAACAACAAAATATGGATCCTTGATGTGCGAAGTCCTGTACAAAAAAGAAAATTAAGACTTTAGAGAACTAATCTTTATTTCTTAATTCCTACTTATCCTAAAAGATGAACTAATCTTTATTCTTTCCAGTTAAATGATAATGGATAAAAGGAAAAATATTTAGAGTTGAGACTACTTATCTACTATTTAGACAAGTTTGACAAGGACAAAATACTAAACTATTTTAGTTAACGCAACAGCTATTTCATTATTTCTATCAAGTGATCTGAGGAGGTGACAATCATATGTCCCCCAAAAAAGAAAATTTGCATTTTATTTTGCATGTATAAGTATGAATTTCTTGCACTTGCTTTTCTTTATTCTCACTAATTGAAACAAGCCAAAAAAGACAAATAGATTGAATTCTGAGACTAAACACCACCCAAATTGTAAATTAGAAGCAAGGGCTTGGCTTAATGATTAACCTATAAACTAAGACTTGAATGCCAGACTTGATGAGTGAGCCTATTACATGAACTGTAGGCACCTCCAAGTTAAGCATGTAGTGTAAAATGAAAGATAAAGTCTGAAGAAAGCACTGAATCCAAAAAAAAGGAAAAATGATGAAAGCAAACACAGAAAAAAGCTACCAAAATTTGAACTCTTAATTTGTCTATAAACACAGGGCTTTACTGAAGATGTTTTCTTTTCAATAAATGATAAGTTGAAATTTTTGTAAATTTCCATAAGAGTAGCATTAGATATTTCAGCCATGTTCAGTTCAATTGCCATTCATGCTCATTCTTGCCTAGAATGAGATTCTAGAATGGGTATGAATGTGCAGAATGAGATATTGTTGCAGCAAACCAAGCACTTTTTTCCAAAAACTTAATTCTTTTTGTAGCACGAATGAGAATGAACTTTGAACCCGATTGGTACTTTGGTTACAAATTTCATTCTCATTCCTTTTATCAATCAAAATAATAATACAGGTTTACATACAATACTCAATGGAAGATATATGGTGGAAACATGCAAAATCCAGACCAACAAAGCACAAATCAACCATGTGGGCCCGACATCAATAACACAAAATATGAAAAAAAGTGTTAATTCATCTATGTGTACTCATATAAGATTCAGGACTCGATGAATCTAACTCATCAATCATACATGGACTTGATTGGGATTGGCATAGTTTTAACTTTTTTTGGCATATTCTGCTGTATCATAGCAATTATCTATGAACCAATTTGTGGATCAAAAACTGGCTTTCAAAAATCAGAATCTGAATGCAATGTAAATATGAATCAATTCAAAAAGAACCAAAGCAAATTCCACCTTTTGGAACTTGGAAAATAAATTATATTTCAAAAGGTGGGGTAGGTTGACTCTAATCAAGGCTAAGCTCTCCAATTTGCCCACCCTTTTTCTCTTGGTGTTTAAGATTCCAGCAAAGGTGGCAAAGAGAATTGAAAAGCAGGCGCTCATCCAGTTAATTTGGAAATTGTGTGCAAGCCTAAGAAGGAAGACAGTTTGGGACTGGGACACATTTCTTAAAGAAATAAGGCACTTTCTTGGCAGATGGATTTGGAGATTCAAGAATGAACACACCTCTGAATTCTTTAATTTGCAGCAAATATGGTCAAAGCATCTTGGACAGGGGCACCTCTCATCCTTTATCTAGTTTCATGGCCTCTAACCCTTGGAAAGGTATTCTTTGAACCCTTGATTCCTCTCCTTTTTTGAGGTTTAATCTTGGCAGTGGTAATCAAATCAGATTTTGGTTAAACTTTTGGTGGGACTCGAAGCCTCTTAATGAAGCTTTGTCTTGTTCAGACTTGCTTGAGATAAATCTTCTCTCATATCCACCATCAGCAACCGCAATAACATGGGTCTCTCTTATAAATTTTTTTTATCAGTAACTCAGAGAATTTCATTAAAACTTAAAATGATGAGAGTACAAGTTGTTAGAAACAACACCCAATACAACAAAGAGACCCACCACCCAATTAACATTGAGCCCAAAACAAATGATGTCCACTCACTCCATGTTTAGCTAATCCATCCGCCAAACCATTAGCAGACCCCTTAACCCATCTTAACTGAATTTGCATTTGTCTTCACAACATCTTTTTTTATTTCTTTTAAGGGCTACACAACAGGGGGGTAGCCCATCCCCCAACCCAGGTGCAGGAGGGATTCAATCCCAAGTCTCCGCTACATCCAGCAGGAGACCTTACCAACCTGCTGGTTGGCACCTTGTTTTGTCTTCACAGCATCTTGAACTGCTTGAATTCATTTCTGAAGTGCCATAATATCCCTTCTCCTTTTTTCAGCCTGCAAATGACTGGTCTCTCTAATAAATTTAAATTCCTTAAGGATTTCTGAGTCCTTAAGGGCTCTACATAACATAAGGTCTCTCTTATAAATTTAACTTATGTAGAGCCCTTAAGGACTCAGAAATCCTTAAGGAGCCTCTTCTTGGCTTTTTTTATCAGCAACTCAAAGAATTTTATTAGAACTTGAAGTGAGAAGGGTACAACAAGAAGTTGTTAGAAATAACACCCATTACAACAAAGAGCCCCACCACCCAAATAACATTGAGCCCAAAACAAATGAAATCTATTCACTCCTTTGTTTAGCTAATCCATCAGCCAAACCATTAGCAGACCTCCTAACCCATCTTAACTGAATTTGCATATATCTTGACAGCATCTTGAACCACCTGAATTCATTACTGATGTACCATAATACCCCTTCTCCTTTTTTCAGCCAACAAATGACTACTTTTGAGTCCCCTTCTACCATCAGCCTTGCGATTCCCATTTCCTTACCTTTTGCACCCCAACAATAGCCACCATGAATTCAGCTCTCACTGAATTACCCTTCTCAATAGGCCCCGAAAACAAACCGCAAATGTCCCACTCCCATCTCTAATCACTCCTCCAATTCTAGAGGGACCCAGATTGCCAAAACTACTTCCATCAAAGTTAAGTTTCATCCATCCCCCACTTGGGGGAGACCAAACCTCCAGGACCTTTTGATTCCTAGAGGAAGAAAGGGCAATTGAACCCCAGCTTCGAAAAAAGTCTTCCACTGACAAGTCTGAGAATAGTTTCAAAGTCTTCACCCAATGAGCAACTCTAACTGTAACAGTCTCCAAGATTACTTCCTTGATTCTTTCTTTATCCTCAAAGATTCTTAAGTTCTTTTCCTCCCAAACAGTCCACACAATTGTTGCTCTAGCACACTTCCACAAAATTCTGCCTCTTCTTTTTGTGCATCTTGGAAAGTTAGTTTGGTCCTTGGAAGAGAGCAAAACCATTCAAGAGGGATCCACCTGCAAGCAAAGAGAGAGCAAAACCATTCAGGAGCCTCTTCTTTGCTCTCATAGTCTCACTCCTTTTCAATGTCTTCATCTCCCCCTCCTCTCCAGATAAGCTAGTTTGGTCCTTGATTCCTAATGGATCCTTCACCACAAAGTCATTTTTTTCTTAAACCAATAGCCAACCTTTCCCTCCCTTTCTGGACAAGAGAACTCTCCACCATTCCCCTTAAAGTCTCCTTTATCTGAGAGGCTGTGATATCCTTCAGAAGAAGTTTGGAAGACTCATCATCTCTAGTCCATAGGCCACCTTATCATTAATTGCCAGGTAGCCAGAAATTTGTGGCAATATTACCTTGGTCTTGTCTCAGGAGGGAATTACCAGTAGACCCCCCCCCCCAAACAATGCTGAGAACTTTTTATCTCAATGGCATGGCCTGAAGCTCAAGCTGGGTGGTAGAGGCTGCAGTTTTTGGAAGGCTATTCCCCATGTAGTCATGAGGGGTTTGTGGGAAGAATGTAATAGGAGAATCTTGGAGAACAGAATTTCTCCCCAGGAGAAAATTATAGATCATTTTCATTCTTTGCTTATCCTGTGGATGATGTACATCAAGGTTTCTGAAGGTCTTGATAGAGGTAAAGTACAGAGAAGCTGGCTTGATCTGCTACTCACGTCCCCAACCAATCCACAGGTCTCTTACCTCACTGTTCCCAAGGCAAGACAGATTTGTTCTGAAATTCAATGTAAGTTTTAGAAGAGTCCTAGATGCCCCTGCAGCTGCAGGGATTGGGGACCTTTTGAGACGACTCAATGGTGATCTGATTTGAATATACAGTGGCCCAACCAGTTCTTCAGATGCAATGGGTGCTGAGGTTTGTGCCCTTTTGGAAGGTCTTAGAATTGCAAAACCGAGCAGATCACTTCTCTTGCTGTAGAAGGGAACTCAAGAAAAGTCGTAAATTGGGTTTCTACTCATAATCCAGACCCTTGGAAGCTCGCTCTTTTTTTTTTTTGCTGGAGATCTGAGTTAATCTCGAATATGAACTGCAGCTTTAAATGGAATCCTAGAAGCTTAAATAGTTGGCAGGTGGCCTAGAAAAATCAAGGATGGGAAGGGATTTCTTGTGCAGTGTGAGCACAATGCCTTTCTAAGCAGGCTTTGTTCTTTTTTGTTTTTGCAAGGCCCGTTACCCTTCTCTCAAAAAATAAATCGACATTTTGCTTCAAATTAAAAATGTGAAAAATCCATATGTTAGAGCAATCACCCAAACCAGATGCAGGTATAGGTATCTCATTTCCTAAAATTCTGGACATGGATACAGGTATAGGTATCCCATATAATTGATTATGTCATGCTTGCAATAATGTATAGATATAGATATAGATATAAATAAGTTTTATAGTCTGATTTATTAAAGGTTAAAACATACAACTTTACATATTTTAGAATTGTTATAATGCTATATAGTAAATCCAGAAGTGTCCATGCAGTATTCACTATCATATTGTCCTCGATTACCCCACCCCTTAGAGAGTTGCCTTAATCTATAGGGCTTCAGAAGATCAAAAGAACAAGTCATTCATTGTTCCTAAAAACACCACCAAAACCTAACTGCCCTGGATTACCCCAATAACAACCATTAAAGATAACTCAAATCAGTTGCCAGTTAAATAACAACTATAACTTAATTGAGCTCCCCAGATTAAAAAGATAGTCTAAATTTAGAGCTAATTAAGTCAAGAAGAGAGCTAGTTGGAAGTTAACGAAAAATAGCAATTAACTGAGTTGCCCAAAAAATCTGATACAAAATTAGAGTTTTTATAGGTAAGTTAGATTTTATTGATTTTTACAATAAGAAATATGTTTACTGCGGATATGCAGCTACCCAACAGTCTGGCTGAAGGCGAAGGCGCCTGACCCTTATACAAGTGTTAGGGCAAGGTATTATGGGTTTAGAGTCATTATGCACAATAGAATTGGACCTTCAGATGCATCTCAACATACTTCCGAACATAAAACACCTCCATGATAAAATAAAAAAATAAAAAAAAAAATCCAGGAAAAATGAATAACTTCCAAAACAGAATCGCAGCAAGTTCAGCACTCCATTCAAGTAATAAGTAGGCAGTCTAATTTCCCTGTTCATCAAATCAAAACTAACATGATGTATGACTTAAACGAATTTATGGAACACTACTTATCACATTATCCCCAGAATCAAACCTCATAAAAGGCACAAAATTAGCTAATTCCAAATTGAATATACGAATTTCAAATTTGATATAAAAAAAGACTAAAAAACTAGCAACACGATAAATTCTCAAATCCCTTCTCCTAATTAGGTAAAAGAAGCAACATAGGTTTCTCATTCATGCAGACCCTTTATGGACTACACAACGTTTATTTAGCAATTTGGCATATTATGTTTATTTTGAGACCTGAACCACCGAATCTACTTACAGTGTAGTTTTCCACTTTTGCTTTAAGCCTTGAAAAAATTACCAGCGGCCCATCAATATTGTGTAGTCCTTAGTAGGAGGGAAAAGGACAGGAATCCATGAGTGGCTGTTGATCCTGAAGCCACCGAATCCTCTTCTAGCCTTGTGGAACGAAAGCAACAAGAAGACTAGAAGAATGAAACATAAATACAATAATAAAATGAATTAACGAAGCAAGCAGAGAAAGTTCAAAACTTGGAAACGAGAGACGTTTACATACCTGCAAGCTCCAACCATTCTTTTCTCCTTGGTTGTTCGACGGTAGAGTGAGCCTAGTAGTAGTAGTAGAGAGAGAGAGAAAGAGAGACGCCGTTGGCTAGGCTGCTTGCTTGAAGCTGATGGAGAAGAGGAGAGAGAGTCTTGGGGGGAGTTCACTAGTTCAGTGGGTAAGAGAGAAAATAGGAGAGTTTCAAGGAGAGAGAGAGAGAGAGAGAGAGAGAGAGTAAAAAAAAAAAAACAGTTCAATTTCGACGAAAAGCCCTAACTTTTTGGTATTTTTTGTTCGTCTGTTAATCAAATTCCAAAAACACCCTTAAACACCTGATCCAGGATTCTAAATCAATGGCTTTGAATTCTACTTTTTTGAAGTACCCGCCTTACACGTCAAGTGGCTAAAAAAGCGCAAGGCGTACGCCTTGAGCAACTTAAAGCGGAGACGGAGCGTACTCCCTGCAACAAATATGGTTGAGGCTACCGAGGCCGAGGCCGAGGCCAAGCCTCATTCGCCTTTTAAAACCACGATCATATAAAAATAAACAGAAGGCTTCGGAGGTTCAGGGACCAGGGTGAATGTCGTAGCCTACGCTGTACAAATTGCTCCCTTTAATTTATATATCCCATTTGGACGCTGAAAATTAGTCCATTCTCTCATTCTCATTCTGGGAGCTATCATCGGATAATCAGATTTAATTGCATACAATACAAGGTACAACGAAGGGAAGGGAAGCTGGGCCTGACCGTCTAATTTCTGATCGGATCGGCAGGCGCAGGCCCATCACCATGCATCATAAAGCCAAAGACTAGGGCCAGCAAATTGATGATGAGAAGAGGAGGGACGATGTAATGCGACGTTTAATTGGGAGAGTGCTATGCATCCTGAGGATTCCGTTTGGTATCTAGTTTTTGGTACATTGTTTGTATCTAATTGGATTGTTTTGATGGTAAGGTTTCTGATACATTTAGCCATCCAAAAGAAGGCATGTATGGCAACCAATAATACTGATAAAAGGGGGGGAAATGGGGTAGGATGATGTACCTGAAGGCAATTTCTAGGCAGGCAAACGACGTGTCTTTAGGTTGGCAAGAAACCAGGTACATGGGGGGGTGATGGGTCCTGTTTTCTTTTTTTCATTATTTGACCATCGTGCATGGCTGTGCATAATTATTATAAACGGTGGTCACTGTCTACGAGTGAAATGAGGAAGGGGAATAATAATACTGCTAAAACAGAACAGGACGATGAACCCATATGACAACAACGAGAATGGGTTTTGCATATAAAAAAGCTATGGCCCAATTTACTCCACGTTCGGTCCGCTCTGGATGACTGACCCGGCTCCAATCTAGAGCGGGTGGCTTTCAAACCCGGGCCCAATTCTAAAATTATGGTTGGTGATATTATATATCGGCGACCATCAATGTGAGATATACTAATTGAATTGAGAATCGGGATCAGCTCATTTCAAAGGGCACTACAGCTGCGCATCCGGAGTGTTTATATATGAATCAAGGTTTTAAAATTCAGACTGGACAGCGAACCATTATGGACTGGCCCATTCTGATAATAAAAATAATAAATAAGGCCAAAAACCATTGTCTGGATGGATGGTTCGATTGTTCGGATCAGCAGTTTATTGATTAAATCAATGATTTTTTTGTCAAAAAAACGGTTTATGAGTGAAACAGAACTGGTCAAATGACCAGTTCCTGGTTTTTTTAGTTCAACCGTCCAGTCTTGTTCGATCTTGAAAACCATGATATAAATTATAACACATTTAGATTACATAATAAATATTTATTATATTATTTGTTTTCTTTTTTTGGTAAACAATGGTATGGTAGTTGGTTTTAAATTTCATTATGATTTACCTAGAGTCTAAGTCAAGTATTCACTTTATATCAATGTTTTAAAAATCAATTTAGTACCGGAATCGCTTTAACCACCTGTTTTTTATTTAATGGTTCAACCATCCAATCTGAACGGATGATTTATTACAATTAAAAAATAAAGAAATAGTTAAAACAAAACAACTGTCGAAAACCGTTGTGATGGTTTGATTGCTTGAATCAATATGCTATTAACCAAATCAACAGTTTTTGACAAAATTAAGAGATGTTCAAAAGTGAAATAAAGCCAAATGCCCGAACGGTTTATAAGCCATATAGTCTGACTGTCCAGATCAATAATGGTTTGAAAACCATGCTTTATATAATATATAAACAATCAATAATGGTTTGAAAACCATGCTTTATATAATATATGAACAAATTCAGAAGATGTTTGCAATATACAATTGTAGTGGGGTTTGTCAATACGATTCAAAGTTTCCAATTCAATTTTGACAAAAGCCTAATCCAAGCTTCTTGAAATTGCACCCCCCCCAACCCCACCACATTAATGGTATCGGAGCACTTGAAGTGGCAAAGTCAAGATGAGTAAAGCTTACTCCCCAAGTTCTTCCCTTCAACATTTGCAGTTACAATTTCACAATAGCCCACCAACCTGGAAAGACATTGGAGACCATCACAGCTAACCATGTCACACTATTGCTATCTTGGAGACCGTGAATTATCTTTAGGGTGGGATGGGACATATAAGTTGGAGTTTAGAATTATTTAAATGGTCCAAACATTTCGTATAATGTTGACACTGCTGCCACTATAAAGTATGTCAGTGTAGGGACTATCTCATGACGATTTTTAAAATAAAATAAAAATACAAGAATAATTATTTCAGTTGTACATTAATTTTTTTTATGACTCCGGCCATACACCGGGGAGGGGGTTTGAGTAAGTTCACTTTTGCTACCACATTATCATAGGGCAGGGCTAAAATAAAAAATCATGGACTTTCATGTAATACAGTGGTCTCGCCAATAATTTTATTAATTTTATGATACCAGAAAGACACAGTATCTGAAGAGATTCGACCAGTTGACCTCAAATCAAAGAGCTCCCCTCACAGTCACATCCACCATGCATTGGGAACATTTCCTGTAAATAATAACTTATAAGCATGGGAGATGTTTCCGATGCATGGTAGGATGTGCGTGTGAAGCCAGTGTGAAGTGCCTTGTGTGAGGAGCAGATCTGGTTTCATATATACCACCTTATTGTTTACGAAACAGCTGATCATGGTTTTTAAAAATGAACCGGTCAGGGGTCCGGTTATTGGTTTGACTGTTTGACCCGAACAGCTGGTCTGCTCTGACAAAAAAATTGAAAATTTGAAAAACGGTCAAAAGCATTCGAACAATTAATCGGCCGATTCAGCAGTTTACTGACCAGAATCAATGGTTTTGGAGGAAAAAACGGGTTTGGGAGAAACCGGTTCCCAGTTTTTCTAATCTGACCGTCTAGTTCAATCCGATTTTAAAACCCATGCAGCTGGTTGATTGTAAGTTTTTGGTAGTCTAACCCAAGTTAATAATGTTAGCCTTCCTGAGTTTCATGGAGTTACATTATACAAGGGTTGATGACGAATCCATTACGAGACAGGTAGCTAAAACCAAAATATATGAGCCATGTATATCGTACGATACAGACCACCGTATAATAAAATCAAATTGGAGCTTTATTCTCTCTTATGCTAGCTAGCTTGATCAAGTGAACTAGAACTGTTTAATGTCTAAGTCTTGAACTATAAAGCAAAAATAACGTTTAGTACTTATAATATATTTAGAATTAAAGACCACTTGATTGATTATGAAGCATGGGCTTTTGTCTCGCTGTTTTGTCCTCATTAGTTGTTGGTTTCCCTAGCTATTTTTCTAAGGCTGGGTTTGGTTAGGAAGAAAAGGTAGGAAGAAAAAAAAAAAGAAAAAGGAGAGAAAAGGTAAGATAGGGAAAGGTTTATAATAAATCTAAACAAGGTATGTACAAATTTTCCTACTTTTCTTTCAAACCAAACACAGCCTAAAAACGTGTCTATCCTTTGGAGCATTGCTAAATCTATGTCAAGACACGCACGTTTTAAGCTGTTTTTGTCTTCAAATAATTTGTTCTTTATTTTTCCCTTTCCATAATGATGTGAAGGATTTCCATCTTCTGAGTTCTGGCCCAGGAATGTAGGGTAAAGTTTGTGAACGTGGGCTGTAATGCAAATTCTCTGGCTCATGACGGAACTCATGTGGCATTCTCTCGCGTTAAGTGAATGTTTAATTCCTCGTTTCCTTTATGCATAGAGCCATAGACCCATTTCTCCAGGCTGAGTATGATACTACACTCCCCCCCTCCCCATTTAGAGTTCATGTTAAAAAGTCTGTTTTCTTTTCTTTGGTTTACATTTCAGTATTTTCACATTTATTATGGTATATTTAACTTTTTATCATTACATTCAAAATCACGTTTTTTTCTATACCGTGCAATAGATATATCATAGATTTTTATTAGTGTTATTGTGTTAGCAACAGTGTTTTTGAATTGTCGTTGATTCAGACGATTGGACCATTCGGCACAGGAATTATTCAGTCAATTGATACCGTTTTACTCCAAACCTTTTCTTTGATCAAAAACCATTTAATTGGTTAATAATCCATTGATCTAGGTAGTTGAACTGTTGATCCATTCAACGGTTTTTTATTATTTCCTTATTTTTTTATTTTTCTGTTGGAATGGACTGTCTGTTCGAACCGGACAATCAAACCATCAATCTGGAAAACTATGACTAGAACGATTCCAGTTCCGAATCGGTTTTTAAAACCTAAATTAGTAATGAAATTATCAAAAAAACTAAGAAGTTCTATGCTTCTGCTGGGCTATTTGACCCATAACTCATAGATATTCGGATAATCCGACAAAACCATACCCATCAACCTTTGGGTTTTTCATCATGTCGAAGTTAAGGCCCTGTTTGGGTTTTTCATCCTATTGAAGTTAAGGCCCTGTTTGGATTTGTACTTTTGAAATTACGAAAGTACAAAAGACACCACATCAGCATACTTCCTACTTTGGTTTTCATACTTTTTAAAAGCATGAAACCCCCAAAAGCACGAAGTTGACTTTAATTACTTCATGCTTTGGGGAAATTTTGCTTCCATTCCGTGTAAAGGGTGGTCACCCTTCAAGTAAAACCCCTCGATAGAGACTCCCCCATTCATTTGTGGTTGCAATGTTATGTGGGTAGATGTGGGCAAAGTTTGTATGGGCAGGAGATCAGGATTTGCCTAAGATGGTGCAAACTTGGGCAGGCTTGGATTATAAAATTTTAATGTATTGCATTGTAAATTCCTGAAATCGAGTACCGATTTAT